ATTTTTTAAAAATTATTTTTTGAGCTCCTTGATAAACGTGGATTTTTTAAAAATTATTTTTTGAGCTCCTTGATAAACGTGGATTTTTTAAAAATTATTTTTTGAAGACCTCAATAAACGTGGATTTTGTAAAAATTATTTTTTCAGCTCCTTGATGAACGTGGATTTTTTAAAAATTATTTTTTGTGGTCCTTGATAAACGTGGATTTTTTTAAAAATTATTTTTTAGCTCCTTGATAAACGTGGATTTTTTAAAAATTATTTTTTGAGCTCCTTGATAAACGTGGATTTTTTAAAAATTATTTTTTGAGCTCCTTGATAAACGTGGATTTTTTAAAAATTATTTTTTGAGCTCCTTGATAAACGTGGATTTTTTAAAAATTATTTTTTGAGCTCCTTGATAAACGTGGATTTTTTAAAAATTATTTTTTGAGCTCCTTGATAAACGTGGATTTTTTAAAAATTATTTTTCTCGATGTAGCCAAATTCCAAATAAATGAATTGACGTCACAGCCATCTTCTTCAATATCATCATAATGAACATCCTCGATGTTTTCTCATTTATTTCTCATTTGATTTAATTGTCTTCTCCTCAAAGTCAATCAATTTCAATTTTCTATGTCCTGCCATGGCTGGGATGGAGAGAGGTGGCGGAGATTTTGGTCCATTTGCGGCATCAAACATTTCAATAGAAAAATCTTCGATTTTTAGACATCGAAAAAGCTTTTTATTTATTTTTGTTTGTTTTGCAACACCCACTCATACCCAGACATATATACCCCTCTCTCCATCCCTGCCATTAAAAGGCTAATTAGCAGCCCAGCATTCCTGTAAAGAATACCAAAAGGGCCACCCATTGCCTACAACTGTAGGTGGCTTCTCCTCGATGTGTGCCTGTGTGTGTGAAGGACCTAACATTGAAAAGCGATCTATTGAATTGTATCCTTTTTGTTGTTCTTGTATTCACATTTGTAGGACATAAAAGCATTTAGAGAATGTCTTCTTGTTAAACAACAATTACAACAACACAAAATGTGTGCTTCAAAAACGTTTTAATTAAATTAAGTGTAGGAAATTGAAATGAACAAGAGGGCAGGAACAATATGTTCAGTGAAGATGCTTTCAAGGGGTATTTGAGATGCATACTTTTAGGCAAAACAAATAGGCAAACATATGTTCTCTCATGGGGTTCGTAGGAGTGAGAAAATGAGCACACAATTAAGGTCAATAAAAACTAAATAAATAAATATTTAAATGGAAAGGTTTAAAGGATTCTTTTTCATGACAGAAAAACTATTTTTATAAAATCCAAAAAGATATTTTTTATTTTTTGAAACCAATAAGAAACGTAGATTTTTTAAAAATTATTTTTTGAGGTCCTCAATAAACGTGTATTTTTTAAAAATATATTTTCGAGGTCCTTCAATAAACGTGGATTTTTTTAAAAATTATTTTTTGAGGTCCTTCAATAAACGTGGATTTTTTAAAAATTATTTTTTGAGGTCCTTCAATAAACGTGGATTTTTTAAAAATTATTTTTTGAGGTACTTCAATAAACGTGGATTTTTTAAAAATTATTTTTTGAGGTACTTCAATAAACGTGGATTTTTTAAAAATTATTTTTTGAGGTACTTCAATAAACGTGGATTTTTTAAAAATTATTTTTTCCTGTGAATTAATAAACGTGGATTTTTTAAAAATTATTTTTTCCATGAATTAATAAACATGGATTTTTTAAAAATTATTTTTTTCATGAATTAATAAACGTGGATTTTTTAAAAATTATTTTTTTCATGAATTAATAAACGTGGATTTTTTAAAAATTATTTTTTCCTGTGAATTAATAAACGTGGATTTTTTAAAAATTATTTTTGCTCTGAAATAATAAACGTGGATTTTTTAAATTTTTTTTGCTGTGAAATAATAAACGTGGATTTTTTAAAAATTTTTTTTGCTGTGAAATAATAAACGTGGATTTTTTAAAAATTATTTTTGCTCTGAAATAATAAACGTGGATTTTTTAAAAATTATTTTTGCTCTGAAATAATAAACGTGGATTTTTTAAAAATTATTTTTGCTCTGAAATAATAAACGTGGATTTTTTAAAAATTATTTTTTCCTGTGAATTAATAAACGTGGATTTTTTAAAAATTATTTTTTCCATGAATTAATAAACTTGGATTTTTTAAAAATTATTTTTTCCATGAATTAATAAATGTGGATTTTTTAAAAATTATTTTTTTTCTGTGAATTAATGAACGTGGATTTTTTAAAAATTATTTTTTCAATGAATTAATAAACGTGGATTTTTTAAAAATTATTTTTTCAATGAATTAATAAATGTGGATTTTTTTAAAAATTATTTTTTCAATGAATTAATGAACGTGGATTTTTTAAAAATTATTTTTTCAATGAATTAATAAACGTGGATTTTTTAAAAATTATTTTTTCAATGAATTAATAAACGTGGATTTTTTAAAAATTATTTTTTCAATGAATTAATAAACGTGGATTTTTTAAAAATTATTTTTTCAGTGAATTAATAAACGTGGATTTTTTAAAAATTATTTTTGCTGTGAAATAATAAACGTGGATTTTTTAAAAATTATTTTTTCCTGTGAATTTATAAACGTGGATTTTTTAAAAATTATTTTTGCTGTGAAATAATAAACGTGGATTTTTTAAAAATTATTTTTTCCTGTGAATTTATAAACGTGGATTTTTTAAAAATTATTTTTGCTGTGAAATAATAAACGTGGATTTTTTAAAAATTATTTTTGCTGTGAAATAATAAACGTGGATTTTTTAAAAATTATTTTTTCCTGTGAATTTATAAACGTGGATTTTTTAAAAATTATTTTTGCTGTGAAATAATAAACGTGGATTTTTTAAAAATTATTTTTTCCTGTGAATTTATAAACGTGGATTTTTTAAAAATTATTTTTGCTGTGAAATAATAAACGTGGATTTTTTAAAAATTATTTTTGCTGTGAAATAATAAACGTGGATTTTTTAAAAATTATTTTTTCCTGTGAATTTATAAACGTGGATTTTTTAAAAATTATTTTTTCCTGTGAATTTATAAACGTGGATTTTTTAAAAATTATTTTTGCTGTGAAATAATAAACGTGGATTTTTTAAAAATTATTTTTTCCTGTGAATTTATAAACGTGGATTTTTTAAAAATTATTTTTGCTGTGAAATAATAAACGTGGATTTTTTAAAAATTATTTTTGCTGTGAAATAATAAACGTGGATTTTTTAAAAATTATTTTTGCTGTGAAATAATAAACGTGGATTTTTTAAAAATTATTTTTGCTGTGAAATAATAAACGTGGATTTTTTAAAAATTATTTTTTCCTGTGAATTTATAAACGTGGATTTTTTAAAAATTATTTTTGCTGTGAAATAATAAACGTGGATTTTTTAAAAATTATTTTTGCTGTGAAATAATAAACGTGGATTTTTTAAAAATTATTTTTTCCTGTGAATTTATAAACGTGGATTTTTTAAAAATTATTTTTGCTGTGAAATAATAAACGTGGATTTTTTAAAAATTATTTTTTCCTGTGAATTTATAAACGTGGATTTTTTAAAAATTATTTTTGCTGTGAAATAATAAACGTGGATTTTTTAAAAATTATTTTTGCTGTGAAATAATAAACGTGGATTTTTTAAAAATTATTTTTTCCTGTGAATTTATAAACGTGGATTTTTTAAAAATTATTTTTGCTGTGAAATAATAAACGTGGATTTTTTAAAAATTATTTTTTCCTGTGAATTTATAAACGTGGATTTTTTAAAAATTATTTTTGCTGTGAAATAATAAACGTGGATTTTTTAAAAATTATTTTTTCCTGTGAATTTATAAACGTGGATTTTTTAAAAATTATTTTTGCTGTGAAATAATAAACGTGGATTTTTTAAAAATTATTTTTGCTGTGAAATAATAAACGTGGATTTTTTAAAAATTATTTTTGCTGTGAAATAATAAACGTGGATTTTTTAAAAATTATTTTTGCTGTGAAATAATAAACGTGGATTTTTTAAAAATTATTTTTTCCTGTGAATTTATAAACGTGGATTTTTTAAAAATTATTTTTGCTGTGAAATAATAAACGTGGATTTTTTAAAAATTATTTTTTGAATACCTTAATAAACGTGGTTTGTATTAAAAATTATTTTTCGAAGTCCATAATAAACGCCGATTTTTTAAAAATTATTTTTTGGAGACCTTAACAAACGCCGATTTTTAAAAATTATTTTTTGGAGACCTTAATAAACGTCGATTTTTTAAAAATTTATTTTTGAGGTCCTTGACAAACGTGGATTTTTTAAAAATTATTTTTTGAGGTCCTTCAATAAACGTGGATTTTTCAAAAATTATTTTTTGAAGTCCTTCAATAAACGTGGATTTTTTAAAAATTATTTTTTGAAGTCCTTCAATTAACGTGGATTTTTTAAAAATTATTTTTTGAAGTCCTTCAATAAACGTGGATTTTTTAAAAATTATTTTTTGGAGTCCTTCAATAAACGTGGATTTTTTAAAAATTATTTTTTGAAGTCCTTCAATAAACGTGGATTTTTTAAAAAAAATATTTTTTTGATGTCTTTCAATAAACGTGGATTTTTTAAAAATTATTTTTTGAAGTCCTTCAATAAACGTGGATTTTTTAAAAATTATTTTTTCCTGTGAATTTATAAACGTGGATTTTTCAAAAATTATTTTTGTTAAGAATTAATGAGTGTGGATTTTTTAAAAATTATTTTTTCCTGTGAATTTATAAACGTGGATTTTTCAAAAATTATTTTTGTTAAGAATTAATGAGTGTGGATTTTTTAAAAATTATTTTTGTGATTGTCCTCTCTCAAACCATATGGTGTCCATATTGTTTTGTATTTCTTCAGGCTTTTGTTTATTTTGGTTGGGGAAAAATATGGGCCACCAGGATATGTTTTGTGTATTTTTGTTTTTTTTTGTTGCTTCCCATTCAACTTACCCCAAACATGTGGACACCAGGCTGGAGGTGCTTCTGGTCGTATTGCCTGTCAATTTATTTGACTTGGACGTTCCCAGGCAAGAACCCATAATCTCGGCACCTAATGATAGATGGTGGGTTCCGGCTGTTCAGAAAAAAATGGCTCTTCTTGGCTGTGGTGGCAGGACTAGGCCTGGCTGTTACAGGAAACTATTTTCACATGATGTGGCCCGGGGGCGTTGGGGACCAGCAAACATTGTTGACATGCCACCAGAGGTGGCAGGATGCGTTGCACGGATATTAAACACACGGGGGAATGTTTTCAACGATTTTTGTTGTTGTAGTTGTTGGTGGATCTGACAATTTTTTTCATAACATTTTATCCTCTTTCTCTTTGCCTGGTATCTGTATTCTGTTTTGGTTTTTTCTCTTTGTTTTTTTTCGACTTATCTACTTAACCTTGATATTGCTTTGAAATAACAACAAATCCAATGGAATTTTACAAAAACAACAAGAAGTTTTTCCACAACGTTTTTTTTTTTTTTGGTTTTAACGCAAATTTTGTAACGAACGAGCGAACGAACGGACGAACGGCGTAACAACAAAAACAAATTCCGAAACGAAGTTGTGTCTCGCGCCTCGCTCCCCGCTGAGAGCCCCGCAATAGGTCAAGGATTTCAATTCACCAAACAATCGGAATTTGTTGAAAAGCCCTTAAGGTAACTCCAATAAAGGCAGGAAGGGAGAGAGCGAGAGAAAGGGAGAAAAAAAAAAAAAAAAACAAAAGAAACTTGGAAACCATTTCGACGGCTTCACATGCCGACGACAACAATGGAAAATACGGATTGACTTTCACTTTCACCCAGGAACCTAGTGGCTGATTTTTACACTCCGGAAACGTAGGGGTGGAGTGTGTCTGTGTATTTCACTTGTGTTTGTTGTTATCCTTTTTAGTTGTAATTACACATCCTTTTTTCCAGTGAATATTTTTTAATGCTCTTTTTTCGCCCATACAATTACACAAAGGAGCAGCTCCCTTTGATTTTAGTTACGTTTGAGAAGAAGGAAAAAATAGAAATTACAACATTCCCGTTAGCTTTCCGAAATTATGTTTCAATGGTGGTGTACATCGTAGAGCGGTACCACAACTATTCCTATGCAATTCGCCAACTGCTGCACAGTATATGTAAGGCTCTCTCTCTCTCGGTTACGGTCGCACTCAGTGGCTCTCGTTGCTCTCCATAACAAATGTCAAAAGATTTAAATTCCTTTGCTGTCACAATCACAGCTGATTGTCAAAAGCTTCAAAAGCTCCAGCTTCCAGACTTACCAACCAAAAAATCCCAAGGAGCTTTTCAGCAAAAGCTGTGGGTTTTATGGAAGCCAAGTAGGAAAAAGTTTTGAATTCAAATTCCAGAAGTTTTTTTCAGAACCAAGAAAATTGGTTCTGGAATTTGAAAAACAAAAAATGTTGTTAAAACATTTCATGAGGACTTGAAAAATAATTCTTAAAAAATCCAAGTTTATTAATTCACAGGAAAAAATAATTTTTAAAAAATCCACGTTTATTAATTCACAGGAAAAAATAATTTTTAAAAAATCTAAAATTATTAATTCACATCCAAAAATAATTTTTAAAAAATCTAAAATTATTAATTCACATCCAAAAATAATTTTTAAAAAATCCACGTTTATTAATTCACAGGAAAAAATAATTTTTAAAAAATTCACGTTTATTAATTCACAGGAAAAAATAATTTTTAAAAAATCCACGTTTATTAATTCACAGGAAAAAATAATTTTTAAAAAATCTAAAATTATTAATTCACATCCAAAAATAATTTTTAAAAAATCCACGTTTATTAATTCACAGGAAAAAATAATTTTTAAAAAATCCACGTTTATTAATTCACAGGAAAAATAATTTTTAAAAAATCCACGTTTATTAATTCACAGGAAAAAATAATTTTTAAAAAATCCACGTTTATTAATTCACAGGAAAAAATAATTTTTAAAAAATCCACGTTTATTAATTCACAGGAAAAAATAATTTTTAAAAAATCCACGTTTATTAATTCACAGGAAAAAATAATTTTTAAAAAAATCCACGTTTATTAATTCACAGGAAAAAATAATTTTTAAAAAATCCACGTTTATTAATTCACAGGAAAAAATAATTTTTAAAAAAATCCACGTTTATTAATTCAAATGAAAAAATAATTTTACAAAATCCACGTTTATTAATTCAAATGAAAAAATAATTTTACAAAATCCACGTTTATTAATTCACAGGAAAAAATAATTTTTAAAAAATCCACGTTTATTAATTCACAGGAAAAAATAATTTCTAAAAAATCCAAGTTTATTAATTCACAGGAAAAAATAATTTTTAAAAAATCCACGTTTATTAATTCACAGGAAAAAATAATTTTTAAAAAATCCACGTTTATTAATTCACAGGAAAAAATAATTTTTAAAAAATCCACGTTTATTAATTCACAGGAAAAAATAATTTTTAAAAAATCCACGTTTATTAATTCACAGGAAAAATAATTTTTAAAAAATCCACGTTTATTAATTCAGAGGAAAAAATAATTTTTAAAAAATCCACGTTTATTAATTCACAGGAAAAAATAATTTTTAAAAAATCCACGTTTATTAATTCAAATGAAAAAATAATTTTACAAAATCCACGTTTATTAATTCACAGGAAAAAATAATTTTTAAAAAATCCACGTTTATTAATTCACAGGAAAAAATAATTTCTAAAAAATCCAAGTTTATTAATTCACAGGAAAAAATAATTTTAAAAAATCCACGTTTATTAATTCACAGGAAAAAATAATTTTTAAAAAATCCACGTTTATTAATTCACAGGAAAAAATAATTTTTAAAAAATCCACGTTTATTAATTCACAGGAAAAAATAATTTTTAAAAAATCCACGTTTATTAATTCACAGGAAAAAATAATTTTTAAAAAATTCACGTTTATTAATTCACAGGAAAAAATAATTTTTAAAAAATCCACGTTTATTAATTCACAGGAAAAAATAATTTTTAAAAAATCCAAGTTTATTAATTCACAGGAAAAAATAATTTCTAAAAAATCCAAGTTTATTAATTCACAGGAAAAAATAATTTTTAAAAAATCCACGTTTATTAATTCACAGGAAAAAATAATTTTTAAAAAATCCACGTTTATTAATTCACAGGAAAAAATAATTTTTAAAAAATCCACGTTTATTAATTCACAGGAAAAAATAATTTTTAAAAAATCCACGTTTATTAATTCACAGGAAAAAATAATTTTTAAAAAATTCACGTTATTAATTCACAGGAAAAAATAATTTTTAAAAAATCCACGTTTATTAATTCACAGGAAAAAAATAATTTTTAAAAAATCCACGTTTATTAATTCACAGGAAAAAATAATTTTTAAAAAATCCACGTTTATTAATTCACAGGAAAAAATAATTTTTAAAAAATCCACGTTTATTAATTCACAGGAAAAAATAATTTTTAAAAAATCCACGTTTATTAATTCACAGGAAAAAATAATTTTTAAAAAATCCACGTTTATTAATTCACAGGAAAAAATAATTTTTAAAAAATCCACGTTTATTAATTCACAGGAAAAAATAATTTTAAAAATCCACGTTTATTAATTCACAGGAAAAAATAATTTTTAAAAAATCCACGTTTATTAATTCACAGGAAAAAATAATTTTTAAAAAATCCACGTCTATTAATTCACAGGAAAAAATAATTTTTAAAAATCCACGTTTATTAATTCACAGGAAAAAATAATTTTTAAAAAATCCACGTCTATTAATTCACAGGAAAAAATAATTTTTAAAAAATCCACGTTTATTAATTCACAGGAAAAAATAATTTTTAAAAAATCCACGTCTATTAATTCACAGGAAGAAATAATTTTTAAAAAATCCACGTTTATTAATTCACAGGAAAATATAATTTTTAAAAAATCCACGTCTATTAATTCACAGGAAAAAATAATTTTTAAAAAATCCACGTTTACTAATTCACAGGAAAAATAATTTTTAAAAAATCCACGTCTATTAATTCACAGGAAAAAATAATTTTTAAAAAATCCACGTTTATTAATTCACAGGAAAAAATAATTTTTAAAAATCCACGTTTATTAATTCACACTAAAAAATAATTTTTAAAAAATCTACGTTTATTAATTCACACGAAAAAAAATAATTTTTAAAAAATCCACGTTTGTTAATTCACAGCATAAAAATTCATTGAAAAAAATATTTTTTAAAAAATCCACGTTTGTTAATTCACAGCAAAAAAATTCATTGAAAAAATATTTTTTAAAAAATCCACGTTTATTAATTCACAGGAAAAAATAATTTTTAAAAAATCCACGTTTATTAATTCACAGCAAAAAAATTCATTGAAAAAAATATTTTTTAAAAAATCCACATTTATTAATTCACAGCATAAAAATTCATTGAAAAAATAATTTTTAAAAAATCCACGTTTATTAATTCACAGCATAAAAATTCATTGACAAAAATATTTTTTAAAAAATCCACGTTTATTAATTCACAGCATAAAAATTCATTGAAAAAATAATTTTTAAAAAATCCACGTTTATTAATTCATTGAAAAAATAATTTTTAAAAAATCCACGTTTATTAATTCATTGAAAAAATAATTTTTAAAAAATCCACGTTTATTAATTCATTGAAAAAATAATTTTTAAAAAATCCACGTTTATTAATTCATTGAAAAAATAATTTTTAAAAAATCCACGTTTATTAATTCATTGAAAAAATAATTTTTAAAAAATCCACGTTTATTAATTCATTGAAAAAATAATTTTTAAAAAATCCACGTTTATTAATTGACAGCATAAAAATTCATTGAAAAAATATTTCTTAAACAATCCACGTTTATTAATCCATTGAAAAAATATTTTTAAAAAATCCACGTTTATTAATCCATTGAAAAAATATTTTTTAAAAAATCCACGTTTATTAATCCATTGAAAAAATATTTTTTAAAAAAATCCACGTTTATTAATCCATTGAAAAAATATTTTTTAAAAAATCCACGTTTATTAATTCATTGAAAAAATAATTTTTAAAAAATCCACGTTTATTAATTCACAGGAAAAAATAATTTTTAAAAAATCTAAAATTATTAATTCACAGGAAAAAATAATTTTTAAAAAATCCACGTTTATTAATTCACAGGAAAAAATAATTTTTAAAAAATCCACGTTTATTAATTCACAGGAAAAAATAATTTTTAAAAAATCCACGTTTATTAATTCACAGGAAAAAATAATTTTTAAAAAATCCACGTTTATTAATTCACAGGAAAAAATAATTTTTAAAAAATCCACGTTTATTTATTCACAGGAAAATAAAATTTTTAAAAAATTCACGTTTATTAATTCACAGGAAAAAATAATTTTTAAAAAATCCAAGTTTATTAATTCACAGGAAAAAATAATTTCTAAAAAATCCAAGTTTATTAATTCACAGGAAAAAATAATTTTTAAAAAATCCACGTTTATTAATTCACAGGAAAAAATAATTTTTAAAAAATCCACGTTTATTAATTCACAGGAAAAAATAATTTTTAAAAAATCCAAGTTTATTAATTCACAGGAAAAAATAATTTTTAAAAAATCCACGTCTATTAATTCACAGGAAAAAATAATTTTTAAAAAATCCACGTTTATTAATTCACAGGAAAAAATAATTTTTAAAAAATCCACGTTTATTAATTCAAATGAAAAAATAATTTTACAAAATCCACGTTTATTAATTCACAGGAAAAAATAATTTTTAAAAAATCCACGTTTATTAATTCACAGGAAAAAATAATTTCTAAAAAATCCAAGTTTATTAATTCACAGGAAAAAATAATTTTTAAAAAATCCACGTTTATTAATTCACAAGAAAAAATAATTTTTAAAAAATCCACGTTTATTAATTCACAGGAAAAAATAATTTTTAAAAAATCCACGTTTATTAATTCAAATGAAAAAATAATTTTACAAAATCCACGTTTATTAATTCAAATGAAAAAATAATTTTACAAAATCCACGTTTATTAATTCACAGGAAAAAATAATTTTTAAAAAATCCACGTTTATTAATTCACAGGAAAAAATAATTTCTAAAAAAT